TATATAAAAAGCCACATGGTATATGAGTCTCATCATGAACTTGGCATTATGATGGGAAAGAAATGTTGGCTCTAGTCTAATTTGTCTGCTGTAGTATGCAATTAGCATATATGTTTAATCACTATGACTCATCAGGAAGTCCCATCCTAGAAAATACATTTAAATAAAACAATATGTAATTTTTTGGAGCAAGAAATGAATTCTTAAGAATTTAAGGTGAATTATTATTAGGATATTGGATTACTTTGGAGTATATATCACAGTAAACTTACTCTTTGTTCCTTTTCCTTTTCTTCTTCCATAGTTTGAAATGCAAGGACATGTGCTTCTTTTAAGGATTTATGTCTTTGTTGATGTTGTTCTTCTAATTCTTCAAGCTCTTGTGTAAGCCGCTGTCGTTCTTGTGTGAATTGGGCTTGCAGTTGCTGCAAAGAAGTCTGAGACTGGGAAAGTTGAATCTCCAAATTCTGTTTCAGCAAGGAAATCTACACCACAGAATGGTGCACAGTAAAGAATAAATAAAAGGGATATTTTACAAACTACCAGTCGAAGGGGAGAAAGCATTTCAAAGATACTAACCTTAGTCAAAATAATGGCTCCACTGTCTAAAGAATATGGCAGCCCATATTTAGAAATGCAATGAACACCTGCTGTTGTTTGCACAGCAATAAAAATTCATAATATGAAATAAAAACATAAGAAAACTAATATATTTATTAGGTTATAGTAACTTTGAGGAAATAGTATGAAAAGTTAAAACTGCTTATTTGTGAAGCAGTAAAGTGAAGTAGTTAAGACTGAGCTCTGAGTTAAAATCCTATCTCTGCCACTTGTTAGTATCAACATCTCGCCAGGCTGTGGTGAGAATTAAGTGTGTTACTACATATAGTTCATTTAGGACAGTCTCTGGCATGCAGTACACATTCAATAAATGTTAGCTAGGAGTATTTGAGAATTAAAAACCTATTCTTTAAGAAGATTTGTCAGTTTATAATTTAGAATCCTTATGTAAAATAAT